TGAGATATTTCTTAGACAGCAGCCAGAAGCAAGCACAGGGAAGAAGCAGTAAGACACTGTTTTAGCTTGGAGAAATGTCTCAGAAAGGACTTTCTTCATTGAAAACTGTTTTTCATATGACTTCTGACTGAGAGGAAACTCCCATTCCATTTTTGCTGGGGTCTGATGACTGCTACAACAATATAGTCTTGGGTTTAAGTTTCTCTGCATAGGAGGAGATGGGCCTGCCTCAGTAGAGGGAACTATATGCAGCTGTAGCTGTGTATCTGTGGCTTATTTGCTTCTTTAGGTTCTCGTCCTCTATGAATACCCAACGCCTGCCAACAAAGCACCATCCACAATTCTTTTGTGGGCATGAAACTGGGTTTTCAGATGTTCCCTGTCACTGGTAGTACTCTAACCAGGCACTTCTAGTGTTGATGAAAATCACAGAATGGAGACATCAGACCTGTCTGTGGGCTGATTTGGATAAGCACGCACTGGTGAAACAAAAAAGATGACTAAGGATTTTGTGAAACTGAAGATCTTGAGTTGTTTTGAAAAGCAGCCAGTATGATTTCCTAGCTGAAAGTGTGAACTCTGTAGAATTTGCAATTTATTTCTTTACTCCTACCTACCACAAAGGAAAGTTTTCTGTTCCCCAGTGATGAGAAGGGTTATTAAACAACAGGGAAAAATAAAGTAAGCACAGAACTGATTAGAGAATTAGATTTCTTTGAAAAATGGTGATAAAGTACATGGCATATAGAGGTAACTGTAAATTTTTTTTGACAACAGGTGCCATTTAAAAAAAATATCATACACCGTAGGTTAAAGAAATGCAGTTTGCAGTTTATGTTTACAGCAGTGAAGCTTCTGATAATCTTCAGTTTCTGTTTTGTAGCTGAGGATGAGCCTATGGGATAATGGGGTAGCTAAAGCCTAAGAACAGCAGTTTGACAAAAGACCTGGTAGAATCACAGTCTATAGAACAGATAATCCCAAATGAGAACAAAGGCATTGGTGCTACCACTGGATCTCAAAAGCCACCAAGTGTGAGGACACAGGAAAAATTAAGGTGGATTTATGTAGTCTAGGCAGTCCAGGGAGTTTAGGGAGGAGATGGGCTTATTTTTGTAGCAGAGTGTCCATTCAGCTGAAGGATGAGGGATCTAACTGCATAAAAGAGGTAGAGTCTCTGTTTTGAAGCTGTGAGATGCAGGAGGATGCCCTGAAAGATGAGCATAACTAGAGGCATGGTGAAATGGTAATAGTGAAGTTGAATGGGTCCTCTTGCAGGTCAGTACTTTGGCTACCAGGGTCTCATGCCTGTAACAGAAGAGCAGTCAGAGAAGGTGTGCCAAAGGCAGCACGGAAAGCCAAGGGCAACCTGATGCTGAAAGATGTTGAAAACACATATGTCTAATGCAGTCTGAGGATCAAACACAGGAGTCTGGGAAACCTCTAGCAGAAGTGCATGTGACAGCTATTAAATATAAAATTTCCAAAAGTCCTGATAAGTGTTACACACACAATCATCCTTCACGTGTTAGGAGGAGACTAACCCTCCTAAGGCTTACCTCTTCTTTATGTAAGAGTTAGATTGGAAGTAAATACTAATGTGAGGGAGCACTATTATCCAACTGATTATATTGTGATTACTTGTGTAAATGCTAAAGGATTTACTATTATTATTATTATTGTTGTAGCATTGAAATCTTCTATAAAAGTAAAGACAGAATTACTCATCAACAGGTCTGTATTTCAGTAGTGTTAGTGATACAATGACATATAAAACCTATTTTTTAACAATGTAGTGTAATGCTTTACACTTTTTTCCTCATACATGCTTTACTGTAATGATAAAATCAATATGCAATTTCAATATTTTTGAAGGAAAACTGTGTCCTGTTTCCAACTTAGAAAAAGTAATTACATATACCATAAAGAAAATGTTGTTAGCTCTACATCACAGTATGAGAAATACTGTCATGCTTGTGTAATTGCATAGCAACTTGACACAGACTTGAGTGACTTTTGAGGAGACACTGACCCAGTGGCTCAAGTGTATCTTTAGGATAACATCAGTATTTTAATGGATGCAGTTTTAAATCTACCATGCTATTAAACACAAAGGGCAAATTTATGCTTGGCATATCTCCCTTGGCAATGTTGGCACTAAACCAGGGAGTAATTTTCCCTATTGCATTTAACAACATGTTTCAGATTTAAAAGCCAGGGAGCCATTAAAATATGACTCCATCAATTAGAAAGTAATTGTGGTATGTCTTTCTAATGCTGAGGGATTAACTCAATTTAATCTCAGTGCGGTTAACAAAGGCAGTTAGCTACTTGCTTTAAATATGAGTTAAATTTGTAAAATATAATGTCTTCATGGAGAACAGGATTGGCCCCGTGGCACGTTTCCAAAAAATGAGCTGTTGACTTCACTGAGTTCAGTGGGAACCTTGAACTGAAGGGCAACACAATTGAGTCCCTGCAGGCTGTTCCTGTAGGTGGTCCACACATGAAATTCACATACAAGTTTTGTATCTTTTTAAAGATCACGAAAGAGAATATTAGACTGTATCGAGCTTGGGTCTTCTCTGCGTTGATGCCAACACTTGCTTTAGGGCAACTTCATAAAGCAGAAATGGGAAGAAACTGAAGCATAATTGTTGAGTATTGTCAGCATTTGCTGCCACCAGTAATTATGATTAGAAAATCCAACTTTGCATACTAGATATTAGACAAAAAACAGCAATGAAGCTGAAGATGTTTGAGAAATTCTTGGTCCCCAGCTGGCAGCTACCATCCCTTTAGCTGGTAACCAGCACGCTCTCCATCCTAATGCACTGCAGGGCCAAGAATAATCAGTTGGCTTAATTCATCTGCAGAATGAATAAAAATGAATGAATGTTATAAACTGATGGTGTCATTAATGCCTTCTGGGATTTTGCCACTGAATTTGGAAGTATTTGAAGAATTACAGGGAAAGCAAGGACCTATTATATAATGCTTAGTTCAGACTGTCCCTCAGTTTGGGTAACACTGTAGTCCTGCTAGGATCTGGCACTGAATGCCATTGAACATGCTACGAAAAAGACTTGTCTTTCTGGAGTGAAAAACCCTAAGCTTTAAGGCAAATAAAACATATTTTGAATAAGGTTTTAAGGTAAAGCATATTGGTACATTGTAAAGAGATTTGTGATTTCTCTCGGCAGATCCTCCTTTAGTTCCTAGGGAGGAGCCTGTAGCTGTTATCATGTCTGCTGTAGAGGGTTAGAAGAAAAGAGGAACAGAAGGGTTAAAGCTGATGGTGAGAAAAGGCGGGAGGGATGTTATGGACTCCCTGGGGTGTTGGGGGGAGGGGAGAGGAAGTGAGATCTGCTGTAGCTGGGCGTTTGCTTTTTCTGTCCTGGGTAGCAATCCTGCTATCTGTTAAAGGCCCACTGAAGATACTGCTTTGCTTTTGTTTTGTTTTTCCTCATGCACCATAGCCCCAAGATCTGCAAAAAGGGAAAAAAATCGTCTTACTTGCCTTGTGTGTGTCATACTACGCAGCCCCAGTCCTGGCCCCGCGGCTTGGTGGCTGGCGCAGGACTGCGGTGGCTCTCACCTCCCAGGCACTGCCAGCCACCCCACGCGTGGCCCTCCTTGTAGGGTAAGGGCTGCTCCCTGGTCCAAGAGCTTGGGGCAGTGATCTCACAGACTGGCCGTGAAGGGTTTCCTGTGCACCTCTTTCCTTCAGGGATTATACCTTTGACCTTGGGGCTTTCCCATCTGGGCTGGGACTTCCCAGCCAGGATGCAGCAAGGCTGAGGGGTGGCAGAGTGAGAAGCAGCCACTGAGTGGTGAGCAGCCAGTGCAGGCTCCTGCTAGGGCTCTCCCCTTGTAGGGTTGAAAGTCCCTTCCCTGTCAGCTTTGGCAACAACATCCCTTAGTGCCTCCGTCTTTCCTTCACCACTTTAGGCAGCCCTTCTGACCAGCCTGATGGTTTCCCCATGACCAACCATCCCTGACCTCATCTCAGCAGAAGGACCTCCCTTCTGCCATCCCCTCCCTCTTGCCAGTTGTTCTTCCCTTAAGCCATCCTCCTAGCCATCCCCTTCACGGCCCATGCCCCAGACAGTCTTGCTCCTGGCACCTTCCTTCTTCTCTCAAACCTCAGCTCCCAGTTCACCTTTAGAACTCTCTTAAAGGCTGCTTGGAAACAAGAAATGCTCTCAGGGCTGTACTTGTCTCTTTCACTCTATTTTGCTGGGTGTAATATGTATTTACTGGTCACTGGCAAGGAGGGTTTAGCTAGTACAGGAGGGTCCACAAAGATGCTACACTGATGCTGTGGAAACTGGGGATCTTACTTTTAAGGAGATGGCTTGCACCTGTCTGTGTTACCCCTCTGTTGCTAAATGGAAGGATGCCTAGAACTATCACTCCCTTTCTTTCAGTTCCTTCCTAGCATGGTCAGTGGCAGAACCCTTAAGTTCAACATAGTAGATATTTCAAAATTCTCTGATATTTATATAGGTATTCCTTATCACTGCCTTCAAGTAATGAAGGATTTAACAAAAGCAATTACTTCCCTTTTTCTTCCATTCTGCCTAGTCATGCTTCTCTGAGAAAAGGCAAAAGCAAATCTGTTAGGTGGATACTTTAGTAGAGAAACGAGGATCTGATGGAACTGTGTAAAAATGGTTGATTTATTCAGTTTTGAATGAAAGACTTGTGATGTTGTCCATATACTTCTGCACTTGAGAGTGATAATCTAATCTAAGATGCTGTCTCTCCTATAAAGCCCTGAAATACAGTTGTGCAAAATGATGCAACTGAAGTAAAACTTACAAGGTGGAAAGTTGTGCTAAGAAACTTCCAAAAACTTCTTGCTAATATATTTACTGATGTCAAAGTCTTGAGTGATCATCCAGTACAATCTGTCCCTTAGAAAAATTAACTGAATGCGTATCAACTTTTCTGCAATGTGCATTGAATTTGATTTCCTCTGATTTTATTTCTTCTAGGGCTGTCAGAATGAGTGCACGGCTGGAGGATGTTCAGGAGAAACAGCAAAGCACGTGATCGAATCTTTCAAGGTACGTTGTCTGTTAGAAGATGAGTGTCTGAAGCATTTCAGTAGATGCTGCCAGACAGCATCTGTAATGTGGTAGTGATTGTTGTGCAGGCATTCATAGCTACTGACATGCCTGAACATGATAATTATGTAAATAATTCTGTAAGTTGCATTTGCTGAAAATATTTTCAATGTAGAAATTAAGTATGTTCCAAGAAGAACTTTAATAAAGTTTCAGGTACTAGCTAAAAGGTTAGTAGTCATTAAGCAAAAATTAAAATGGGATAGGTGATTTTATTTTTAACTTTTATCTGTTTCAAAAGCAATAGAAATGAAGATTGATTTCCCCTATTACATTTTTTTCCAAATAAAGTCTATGTAACATTCACATTATTTCACATTATTTTCATATTATTTGTGAAACTTTGGCATTATGAATGGTATTCAAAAGTAGATTTTTCCATCTGGTCTCAAAGTGGCAGAGCTAAGGATCCCAGGAGGTCCCCAAAGCACGCCACGGCTCTGTCACATTATCAGCACTCAACAAGCAAACAGGGCTATGATAATAAGGAATACTGAGCAGCTGCCAGGAACTGACATGAAATTGAATCCCTTTCTTTTTATTTTAATCTTATGCTTAGAACTGAGCTCAGTTAAGATATCACTCTCTGCCTCCTTCCTGAATGCAATGCTAGTAACTAAGAGCTCATTTTAAACACTGTATGGACACAGACATCAACCTTTAATTTTCTGTTGGAAATATCCCATCAGCATGTGCTCCTTTGAATTCTACCTTCTGTCTTCATTCCATTTTTCTTCTGCCTCTCTTTTATATGTCTTTTGCCTTTATTCCTTATGTCACACATCTGTAATTCTTTCTCCCTCTCTTTCCCTGCTTCACAATCTTTAAAAAGCCTCATCTATATTTTCCAGATGTTTAAAAATATAGTACCCAGAAAAAGGTGACCTCACTTGTGCTTTTTCAGCAGTTCCCTTCCTGTTATTGCTGACTACTGTCAGCAGTACATGAGATGAAATTATAGTGATACACTTTGTAACTGTCATGTTCTTCCTGATTTTTTGGGCAGTGTCGCTGCTGTGCAGTCTTCTGAATTATGCTTAAGTAGTTACTTCCCTTTTTGTTGTCAGGTTTTAACCAGATTTGGAAAGTAAATGGTGCAGAAAATGTGTTGGACTCTTTGATAAGATTTATTCTGATACTGGTCTCATTGAAAGCAGCAAAGAATTCCCGAGAGTCCATGACTACAGAATTTTGCCATGTAGCAACATGCCATTTAATTTCTTTTTCCTCATTGTCAGCCCTTCCCAGTTCTCTTCCTCATTTCTTTGCATTGTGTCTCTCTGGCAGTTCTGCCCAAGAAGGAAGATTTAGGATGTACTTTTTAGCCAGAAGGTCTGATTTGGAAAACGTTGACAAAAACTGGCATGCAAACAGTTTTGAAACCCCAAGAATTCACAAGTATGGAGCACAGACTTGTTTTGTGAATTCACTTTTAATAAATAGACAAGATAGACCTCAGTAGATTAATTCAGTAGAATATGCCAGTGTATTTAAAAAGCAACTGTTTTACAGAGAGTCTTGTGTAACTGCATTGTACTTTTTCCTTCCATTCACTGAGGTAGTCCAGAAGGAAGATCAACAGAGTGACAACAAACTCTGTTTGTGTTTGGGTTGTAGGTGAACTGGGCACAAACTAAAGCAGACTTAAGACAGATTTAAATATATCAGCAGTCAAGCAGCAGCCTTACCAAAGCTCCAGATATTGGGTGACACAAAGCTGGATTTAATCCAGTTTCCCTTCTATCGATACTTGTATGTCAACCAGAATGTCAAATTATTGTAGTGGAGAGTCTGTGTGAGGGGAAAAATATATTAGCAGGTGGGACAGATGGTCTTAAAGGGAATAATACTAGAAAAAACAGCTGGCTCAGGCTGTAGTCTAATTCATAATTCCATTCCTGCCTTATGGCTCTGTTTCTGAAAATTAGCTACCGTTGCCGGAAGGGGGTACAGTTTTTTTAGAAAATATTGTACCGTGTGGTGTGTGTGAAAGTTATGATGGGAATACAGGTACTGATTGCAGTGTCATGCATTATAATAATTATTTGCAGTCTTTTTAACTTCATTGTCAAATTAAAAAGAAAAACTTTATAAATGAAGGAAAAAATAACACCAGACAATGACAAATAAAATGGCCCGAGTTCATTTTAGGGAACTTCACAACCATTTCTGTGGAAGACAGTGACGGTTACAATTTCAGAAACTATAGCTAATAATATTTCAAAGGAATCAAGTTGACCCATGGGGCTGACTGTGCTGAAGAAAGCTGCAATTTTGTGCCAGTAACCTAAGTAATCCAAGATTGTGGGAATGTAGAAAACAGGGTATGGTTTTGTTTTATGCTTACATAAAACATATTGTTTAAAGTGGATGATGCCCAACACTTGAATGCTGAATTAGCCCTCTGAAGACATTTCTTTTTAGAATGCAGTGCTGTGCTTTTTAGGTGGAGTGAGCTGCTTTGAATTTTACTACAATTTCTGCCTGACTTGGAAAGACATACTTGGAGAATCCCTATATGCTGGGAGGGAAGGAATGAATGCTATGTACAGCTTCTAGCAAGCAGTGAGCTCTTCTGCTAGCTGCTCGCTGTTTTCGAGTCTCATGGGCTTCTTTTAAGTCAGTAGGTCAGAACTGGCATCTTGTTCATTTTAACCACTACTGAACTACCTTAATTTGACTAATTTTTTTAGTTGAAAATCCCATCCTGACACCTCTGTGATTTACAAGATACTTAATGTATTACATTCAGAGTTGATATGTGACCAGTGATCTGGGAACAGATAAGAAACATCGAAGGAAATAATAATTATGCTAGAGTTTCCTGTATTGTAGAAAATGTCAAATCTCCAGGATTTATCTACCCAGCTCCTTCTACGAGAGTAAGATCTTCCTCCCTCCCCAAACTGTTGTGTGCACATATTTATTTAATTAACTTGCTGTGGTTTCTGTCCATAAGCTAAGAAGTCCCACTTGTAGGTTTTGCCTATTGTCATCATTGGGTCTCTAGGATGGGAGTATGAAACCAGTGTTGGAAAGTGCAGTTCATCCTCTGTACCACTGAATGTGTTTTGGAATGTGGAATCAAGAAATGCACAAATCTGGTTTTGCTCTTACATGTTTTTTTTTGCACTCAGCAATACCATGAAATAGCAGACAGTTTTGTCTACAGCACTTACTGTTTATGATTTGAAATCTGGTAATTTCCTTAATACATTCATGCTGCTTATTGCACTGTCACAAGACAGAATGAATGTTGTTTGGATAATGTGGCAGTCTATTTCCATACCTAAGTCTAATTTGGTTTCTTTTAATGTGTGTATTAGCTCTGACTTTGAATTCATAATACACAGTCTTAAGAAACTAAAGGCATCTATAACTGCCTTTTATTTCCCTCATGTTATCAATCCATGTCCAGAAAGATGATTTTAGTTTTTATGTAACCTTTTGTCATGGAATACATTTTCTCTTTGGGATACTGACACATGGAACACTTTATGAAGGTATTACCTACTCCTATTATTCTTCTCTGTGTTTCAATGATCTGAAGCTATGTAGAATTAGTTAGGCATCTTAATGGTGCAAAGTTCAGTTCTTTTGTTTTAATTTTTAACGGCCTACTTAGTGTATCAAAATGGTGCAGACCTTCTAGGGAATACTGGCTAGTCTCCTATGCCAAACAGAGCAGCTGTGGTTTACAAGTGGATTTCGATTGACTTGCTAATATGAAGACTTGTAGTAATGGAATGAAAAAATGTTTACATGGAGCTTCTCTATCTGAATGGCTATTCGTGTTACTCTAAATAACTGCCAGTGTTCCTGCAGTCTTCTGCAGACAGACCCAACCTTCCCAGGCTCTGAGCCAGTGGGATGTGAGCCCATGTCAGACTGGAAGCTATATAGGCAGGTTAGTGCAGTGCTGTGCTCAAACTAGTAATCCCCATTGAGATCTTGGACTTGCTAGACTGAATACAGTGCTGCACTAATATGTTTGCATGGCTTCCAGTTTGAAGCTAGCTCATGTCTAGCTGTGTGAGATGCTGGATATAGTGATTTTTCTGTAATGATGTACGGTTTAGTATTTGTTTCTTGCATCGTTATGTTTTAGACCCCAAACTGTGAACTAGCTGACATTGTGATAGGTATTCTACAAATTAGAACATAAAGGTTATTTCCACAATATAGGTATAACCTACAAATAAACAACCAAAATCTATGACAGTTTTTTTCCACAGAATCTAAAGCTGTAATGTATTTTACTTCTGGATGGAGTATGAAGAAACTGAAAATTTATTTCCAATGCAGACATTTGTGTTTCAAATTGAGAGATTGACAATGGAAGTTTTACAGACGTTGATCTTGTTCTTGGAGGCCTCTTGACACAAATGTAGTTGTTCTTTATAATAGGACCTTTATTTGCATGTTTTAAAACATGTAACCTTTGCATTAAATGACTGTGAACATGGTTGGCTCTATGAAAAACATACTGTCCTGATTCCAGTTCTCTGCCTTGTTTCACATTCTTGACAAATAATACAATAGCATTAAAAATAAAGAACAAGTCTATATCTTAACCTGGAAGCATTACAGTTATAAATATGGTAGTATTATAGGAGTATTCTGTGCAGTTAAGATGTAGGTTAGATGTTATTGCAGTATACAGCATTTCTTGTTATATGGTGTATGTTAGAAAGAGTTGGAAAAACTCCTTTTTTCTGTGGAGAAAGATATGCCTATTTTCAAAACAGTCTTTCAAAGGAAAACCTGACCAATTTTTGCATTTCCCATGTTTACATTAATGAAACTACATTACTGTGATTCTTTACTATGTTTATACTAATGAAACTCAGTTGCGTCTATAATTTGTGCCAAATATAATGGGATATAAGATTCCTTACTCTAGGAATTGAGAGAGGGACCAATCAATTTTGAGGCATTAA